TTTCCCAAAGCATCCCAGCAGTGCAAGTCCAGCCCTCGCTCAGCACCGGGCCACCACGGCCGTGCAGAGGTAACATCACCTCGTGCCAAGCAGCAGCTCAGAGGTGCGGGACATCTCCTGTGCAGCAAGGGGCTCTCTCAGGGATGTCTAAATGTCTGAAGTCGAGTGTCACGGCTATGGTTCATCCAAGCACAGGCTCCATTTCAAGCACCTCAGTAACACCAGAGACTGACCCTCTGACCCTGCCTCATATTCTAACAGCACAACAAGAGAACGAGGGAAAGAATCAACATTTTGTACAACAGCACACAGAGGAATTCAGAGACCACCTAAAACGGAGATGATTACGACACCAGCTTTACGCTGTCTGTGATCTCTTCCATAGATACTGTCCCCTGGATGTGGTTAAAGAGCATCCATGCTGCAAACTGGGATTTTTGTAGTCACAGGTGACTGGAAGTGCCTGTCTGTCACATTCTTGCATTTCTGCAGTCTGCTTCATAATGATATTAAATTACTGTTCTCATATTAAAAGAGATACTTTACAGGTTTCTTGGGAAAGAATACCAAGCCCTGATTTTTTTTTTCCTTTTGAATAATTCTTCTAATTTTCATTCTTAAACCATTTAATTTGATATTTACCCACCGAGGAAGAACATCAACTCTATCAAATCTTGAATAATAACTCTTCACAGTTATCTTGGTCTCTTTCTCCTCCCCATGTTAGTAGCTACATTTACCTGTGATATCAAAGCTGCTCTGAAATTCCAACCTCCTGTGGTGAAGAGACACAGCTTCTTCATGTGGCCTTGAGAAGTTTGCTTACAGCTCCAGACCTGGCTTAATTTGGAGATGATTCAGGGTTTGTGTGTGTGTGTGTGTGTCCAGGTGTTCAAGAAGGTAGAAGACAGCAATGGAAAAGAAAAGAAAAAAGAAATTCAAATTCTATAAATTGAGAAATTTGGTGTTTCACAACTCTTCAAGTAGCAAAAATTTCTGCAGAGGGAACCATTTCCAGATGCACCTGGTGCCTTCAGGTGTTTCCCATGCAGAGGTTTAGATCCCTGCTCCCAGCTGGCCTTTCTTTTAGTTCACAGTGTTGCTGGGACTGTGGTAAAGCTGCCAGAAGGTCTTTGATTTTAACCTCTAGGTTATTCGCACCTGCTGTGAGGAAATTTTAGCTCCATTTCACCCCTGCTGAAGAGGGCCCGTGCTTGGTGTCATGGGGTAGGACCTGTCCTGCAGCACCACTTGTCCTACCTCTGTCCACCCCTCTCCAAAGGGGGAAAAAAGCTTGAGAGAACTAGGGCAGAACTAGTTCCAGAGCCCATCCATGCTGAAAGAGCCATCACAGAAATGGCCCACGACTAGCGGTGAGGAGAACTGAGCTCCTTGGAAACACATCTTCGGAGTATCCAGCAATACAGATTCATTTAGCAGCTCATCGTTTTTCATTAAATCTGATTGACTTTCCCCTGCCCCCGGAGAAGGGAGTGAAAACGTTCCAGAGAACAACCAATTTCACTGAGATACGAGAGAAACATCAAGCACTTACTTAATTCAGATTTTTTTTTCCACTAAATACAAGCTTCCTAAATATTAAAACAGCAGCATCTAAACAAAGGACTTCGATCAGCATATTTTGATATTTTCAGAGCAACGTTTACATTATGTTCCAGTTTGGAAGGAAGGGAGATTTGAAATAATCACATTTCCCAGAAGAATACGCGTTCCGAGACTCTCGCCGCTCCGCACAGCCTTGCCTCAGCATCAAGAAGCACCACGATTCTTGCTGACAGACAAATCCCTTCTTTTGATTAGGGGTATTGAAGCCAGTCCAGCAAGCCTGCCGCAAGGGAATTCTCATTCACCTCTTCCAAGGGAACAGCAATGACTGTGTCAACATAGTCTTTGGGGAAAATACTTTCTCAAACGCGCTGGTTGAAATGCAGAGGACTTTATCAGCAGTCAAGCAACCTCGTCCTGCCTCCCCCACCAAGGGGAGGCCTCACCTCCATCACCCGGGAGGAGAAAACAAAAGGTGGCCTTGCACAGACAAACTGTTTTCTGCTGATTTGAGCATGGGTGCTGCGTAAATAAAAGAGCTAAGAGCTCTCATTAACAATATCCCTTACATTGCAGCAGTACATTCCTGTCTACACCCGCAGCAAAGCCAAATTTTATTTCCAGGGGATTTTACAGGGTCCTAAATAGAAGTGGATGTCAGACTATTAAACAACAACAGAAAATGCTTTTTTTTTTCTTTCCGTTTTTTCTTTTCAGAGGGAATAACACCTTGTTCTTCATTTACGTTAGCTAGACAGGATGCCTAAAATGCAAAAACAAGATCTGCAAATAGACTAAAAGCAATAAACTGCTCGGGGCCAATGGCCCTCGGCACCCACTTCACATCTGAGTTGACACCTTTCTGGGCCAGCTGTGCAGTCCTCGCTGTGCAGCACCCAGGTACCCCATCCATTCACCTGATAACAGGAAAGAACGGACAGCAGTTGTCTTCAGCTGCTCCACAATTTAAATCTCTTCTGGGCGCCAGACTTGCACAATTTGCTGAGCTGTTTCATCTAAATGGGAACAGTTGGAATGCAGTAATGTTGGCTGAAAACAAAAGCTGAGGCAAGGGAATTGCCAGAGTAACTTTAGAGTATGAGGACTACTGCAGGCCGTTTGTACTGCAGAAGGCAGATAAAAGCCCTTGGAGATGACTCCATTTGTGTCTCAGGGAAGAAATCTCAGCCTAAGCAGCAGGCTCTTCTCCACTAAGCAGAGCAGCAGCTTGCAGACACTACCTTTGGGAAGGGTGGGCTGGCTTGATGAAGAGAGATAGGAGCTCCGTGGTGTCACCCCCCTCCAAAGCTGCAGGATGTGCCTGCTGCTGGGAAGCAATTGTTCCGCATGAGTCTTCCAGACAGGAGGAGATCGTGGGATGCTTTGGAGATGGAGAAGGCTCAAACACAGTAAGTGCTGGCAATGTGTTGGAACAGGCAGGCTGCTGTCTTCTGCTCTCCGAGGCATGGGGTGCATGGGCCACGATGCTGTGTACAAATGGGATAGAGCCTCATTTTGGGCATCCTGCACTCCAAAACATGCAGGGAAGAGTCTGTCACTGCTTCTAGTGTATTCAAGAATGCAAAGCTAGAGCGAATAATTCTATTAGAGTCCAACAATTAATGAAGTGTTTTGCTATAAAAAGGGAAGGGGAACACTTGTTCCCTCCTGTCTGGCCTATTTAGATCAGACCTTGTTTGGAACACGAACACTTATTTATTTAAGTGTAAGGAAGTGCAGCCCTGCTCTCTCATCCTTGCTGCTGAGTGCCCGTGGGAGAGCTACAGTAGAAGAGACACTGGGGTTTTGCAGGAAACATTATTTGAAAGGAAGGCTCCTTAGGACTAGTAAAGCAAGGAAAAACCTCTTTAAAGTTGGCTAAGCACTGATATGTCTGCACAGTAGAGTGAGAAGTAAGTCAGTGTAAAATATTGAACCAATTGTTTAAATTTGAATTGAAGGAACTACATTGCTCCATTATGAATTTCAAGTGGAGAAAGAATTCCTTGAGGAAAGACATAAAACCCAGCTATTGGTATAACACAAGTGTCTTTTCCCGTGAAGGTTAAAGAGTGTTAAATATGTTGGTAAAACCAAGAGGATATCAAAGGATTGTCTCATTTACATAAACAGTGTATTGGGAATCCAAAAATAACATCCACAGGACTTAATTCTAACAGGCTTTGTATAGGAAGCCAATGTCGCTTGAAAGAAGCGGAGGCTGAGCTTGAGAACCTGATTCCCTGGGTCTGCTCCAAGCCTTTCAGCAATACTTGGCTGGACACATAGGTGCACAGAGAAACACAGCTAATTACTTCCATCACATATGGAAATTAGGAGAGGGGAAAATGATCATTATTACCCATTTGAGCTTATGGTTACCTGATTTCAGTGTGTAGTTGCAGTACTCTGCATGCAATTGTGCTCTCAGTTAAACAGCATCTTGCTTTCTGCATGAGTATTAGTCCAGATAAAAGATATGCCTTTAAAACATACTAAATAACGTGGCTGGAGTTTTCAGAGATGCTAGTTAATATGTGTTAATCAGCATGTCAGAGGCACTGTCAAAGACTGGTAGGTCTGAAAATACACTGGCCAAACTCTGTACTTGCTGTACTTGCTCAAAAGAGACCAAGAGATTCTTTGAAAAAACAGGCTAATTCAGCCATTATATTTGCAAGGGCCATGAAGGCAGCAGTATTTCCAGCCCTCAGGGTTTGCAGGGCTTTTTTGCAAACCTGGGGCTTTTTTTGCAAGCACATGCCAGGGCATGTGGAGTATCTTAAAGTCTGTCTTTCTGGTGAGACTCTGAGGCTCCAGCTCAGCACTGCAGACAGGGAGAGGCAGCAGCACCTGTCAGAATCTTAAAAGACATCTTCCAATTTCCATCCCTTCACTCTGCTTTTACATTTTAAGAATAAGGTTCTTAGCTTCATGGGTGTCAGGAAGAGCTTGGCAACCAGAGACCTTAGGGGGCTCAGAAACCAACAGAGAACTTAAACTGAGTTTGCCTTAGTAGTGTTGGGATGCTGCTGTTTTTAACATCACTGTGGGATTGAATTCAAGAACGACTACTTGGATTGCCAATGGCCAGAGCAGAGACAGATACTGTGCTAGGTGTGCTCCTTGAGCCTCATCCTCATCACCCTAGCTTAGACCTGGGGCGTGATTTGTCCATCTCATGTCACCTGGTCTAGAAATGGTCATCCCAACCATCCACATACCTTCAGAGATACCTTCAAACTAGACCAGCCAGGAAGAACCCCGGTGCCACTTTGCCAGTGACTGAGAAGTCGTCAGCTCTGCGGCGATGACGTAGACCGAGGCATTAACTCGGTTAGTCCTTCCGTGCCTGCCCATAATTACCCATCCGTGCCCAGAGGAGCAGGCAAGTTCTCCTGCAGTTCAGAGGAAATAATTACGGATTAGCTCACCTTCCTGCAGCACAGAGGTCTTCCTGCGGGATCCCGGAGGCACTGGCAGCTCGTAGGGCACTATTAATCATGACGTACGATGTTTTCCGGCACGGATTCTCACGCCCCCAGCTCTGCCATCCAGCCCACTCACATCTGGGGCTGATCAAGCCGGGGTAGGGGCCTCGCTGCAGAGGAACTGGGGAGGAAGCGAAGGAGTGGACAAGGCCCTGGCCACGTGGGAGCAGCCCATCAAGAAATGCTTGTTTAACATACGGCAGATTAGTCTGCCCTAGGAGTGAGCTGCTGCTGTAAATTAAACTGCTTCTCATGAGCTGGAAACCCTGCCCTTTGTGAGGACCACATATTTTCAGAAAATGCTGTAGAAGCAGCAGCTGCTTTGGAGAAGATGTTTCAAACTGTTGTAGCCCCACTTCTCTTCCACTTAGCTGCTGGTCTGTTCCTGCATTCCCTCTGCAGTTCACCGGTTCCACACATGGTTTTGCAAGCACATAGTCTCACCAGTGTACTGCTGCCCCTGGAAGAAGTGCCCTCCTCTCCTGTCCCCAGCTAAAAATGAGCTGTGAGTGAATGACCTGCTATATATGTGGGTCTTTGGCATAAGCTAGACCACTGCAATGAGCTGGATTAAATTAGCCCTGAGAGAAATACTTGGCATGAAGGAGTGAAAGGCAAAGGCTGGAGACCTCTTACGCCAGCTTTGCTGAAGAGGTGCCTTCTTAGCACCTAGGTCTGTGATAATACTGTGATATTCCTCTTCTGTGTGTTCTCTGGAGCTGGAAATGAGAAAATATCCCCTTTCCAAATCCATACAGTGTAGAGGACAGTCGATTGTCACATCCTCACCCATTGGTGACCTGGGGACAACCTGAGCACCGCTGAGATGGCCTGCGAAGCCCTTCTCACCCCGCACCAGCAATCATTTGATTTGTTCATCACCGGCTGACCGGGCTGGCTTTGGCTGAAGGGCTCGTGCAGCTGGTTGCGGTGTCTCAGGTGGGCTGTCTTGCAGCAGCAAGGAGACGGAGGGCAGTAATGCCTTGCACCTCTCTAGGCGGTCTACAGGAGCCGGGACAGCTCTGTGCTGGAGCCCTGATCAGCTTCAGAAAAGGCCGCTCCCCCTGCTTGTGGCAATGCCTTAGATGCAGTACATGCCCCTGGGGAGTCAATCTCAGAGCCATGGTGGGGGGAGAGCTTGTGTTTTGTCCTCTGATGATATGTGACAGTAGCGTGTAGCTAAGGGGCTTCCTGTGGGCAAGCTGGAAGCTGGAAGAGAGAGTGGGGTAGTTGTCCCTCCTTCATCTGCCTCTAGCTCTGCACTGTGGAAAGAGTTCACAGCTCTTCAGTGGAGTCCATGACCACCATCTCTCACAAGAAGCAATGTGCAGAAGCACCTTTGCCTCTGCCCTTCTCCTATGCCTTTTGATTTGTCCATCTCATGTCACCTGGTCTAGAAATGGTCATCCCGAAAGCTTTGTCACTTCCGCTCCACCCAAAGACAAAAATAACACAAAGAAAATATTCTGACATCATTCCTTCATCTTTCAGCAGATTCTTTGTTTGTCCTTACAGAGAAACAAGCAGATGAAGGAGGTTCTGGGCTCCTTTAGTGTGTGCAATTTAGCACAACAAGCACCAAGTGAAAGGAGTAGCCCACAAGCTAGTATCACCCAGAAGGACAGTGAAGGTCCCTGTGGTCCTGTGAGTTCAGACATGGGCAGTGACAAGCGTTGAGTAGGACCAGAGCAACATAATAGGGGCTGGAGAGCTTGAATGAGCACTGAGTTGGTTAAAACCAAAAAAATGCCAAGCAAATTGACATCTTCTCAGAAAGAGAGAGAAAGAGAGAAGGAGAAAAAAGAGCATGGAAGCAACTGGAAAAGAAAAGAGACAGGAGGTAGAAGGAGACAAGACTCATACTTGCCCGTGAGTAGAACCTGCAAACTAGAGAGTCACTTGTCACAGCCAAAGCTGTGGCACATTTCTACTTTCCACTCAGAGCTCAGGAAGTAGGTTATCACTATGTAGATCCTCACAGAAACATCATAAAGCATAAAATGAAAAATTACTATTAAGTTGTCTTGTCAGGCCACCCATCCATCTAAGTGAGGCTGATGTGTAATGTGACTGATTTGTACAGAGAAGACCAAAGGTTTAGAGTGTTTTTTTTTTTAATTTCTTTAATGAAAAACAACAATAGAGGCATAAAAAGCATCCTGACAGCATACAGGTCTTGTATAGCTAATGGCTGTAAAGGGAAACACTACAAATTACTTTCAGCACTGTATATTCACTTTTGGTTTAAAAGCTACAGCCTAGTTTCCAGAGCATTAAAAATGTCTTGCCTGTGGATAATCTTTTAAATTTTTAAAGATTGATTGAAAATATTAAAGATATCAAACTGTTTTTCTGTGACAGTTCTGGAATGTTTCCTCCCTTCGGGGATGAGGAGTTCCAAGCTCAGGGTTTTCAGGAAATAGTTATAAAGCAGCACATAACAGAGCCCCGTGTTAATTGATTTCACAGAGGGCACTTGCTGACATTGTGTTTCATCCACCACGGTATTTCCCTGGGGATTTCAGGACATGTCAGCAGAGCCACTGTATGTCAGGAGCTTCATGACTCACTGTGCCTGGGCCAGTGCTAAAAGGATGGGGAAGGGACAGAGGGAGCTCAGCAAGCCTGGGCTTGGATGAGCGAATGGGGAGCTGTGTAGGACATGCACCGCTCCCCTCAGAGAGCTGAATTTACACACGGGTGTCTCTGCTTGGTATTTAAGGTCATGGGCCGTGGTGATGCTCTCCAGAGAACTGCACGTGTGAGGGAAAACGGGAATGTGCAAAGTTCTTGCCCCATAGGTGAGCAGGGGGGCAATGGAGCTCAGACCTTTACGGTTCCTGGTGGCCTTGGACAAGTGGCGGTGTGACCGGCTAGGAAGTAGCCTGCTCAACTTGCCTGCTGGCTGCCAAATCAGTAACACTGCAGCAAGGGAGATATGGAAGATGTGGGGCAGCAGGAGGGCCACGCCACCCCATGGGGCAGGTGACGGTACGTGCGGACCAGTGTCACTAGGGAACGGGAGCACAGACATCTCTTCCATGGCCATGGCCACCATGGCCACAGGACAAGTTGGTTCTTGAAAGCCAGCTTGGGCGGGAGCTTGCACATGCTAGAGAGGTGCCCCTGCACTCAGAGCTTGGTTTTTGCAGATGCTGGCAGCAAAATCTTCACTTCTGCCCAGAAATAAGAATAAATATATGCTGGAAGCATATTGAAAGTGCTGGAGGATATTTCCCTTGGTTCCAAATGTCTCAGCTCCTAAAAACCAGCTTCCTCAGCAGAAAAGAAAGAAATAAAAAAAGAAAAAACCTGCAGGGGAGTGTAATATTCAGGTTTTTTTCTTGGGATTTGAATGTTTTGGACAGAGCCCAAACTACCGAAGTGAAGTGACTGCTAAACTCTCAAACTGAAGACCATGCTCACCTGTCCTGATGCCAGCAAAACCTCCATCTAACAGGGTGCTTCTGGCTATGAGTGGCTGCCTGTTAGAAAAGCAGCCCCTCTGTGTGGTTTGCTAAGGAGCTTTAGGTAATCCTTTCTGATGAGCTAGCAGGAGGGACCATGCGGGTCTGCTCTTGTATAGTGGCCCAGGAGGCCAACAAAAGGTGACTATAAAAGTTTATCTTTGGCTGCTTGACATTTATTTCCATCAGAGCTGTGTCTTAGTGCATCTCTCCCTGATCTGGCTTCAGCGTTTCACTTCTGATATGTGGCTCAGAAGCAGGATCTGAAATGTGCTTTGCTCTAAGAGCACCCAGCGCCTCTTCACAGCAGGTCTGACCCTGGCAGCACCTGAGACAGGGACACTTGCTGTTGCTTTATTCTGCTAGCTGTTTTCTTTTTTACCCCATGTATTTCTTTAAATGATTCATAGATTTTTTTTAGAGCCACTAGAACTAAAAGAAAAAAAAATAAAGAAAGGTGGGTAAGTAGCTCTAGATCAAATCTAGACCCAGTGTAAGTTATGAACCTACTGACTTGAGTGGACCTTACTGCTATATATTTCTTCAACAGTTTGGGCCTTACTGTCAAAATTAAGGAAAAGGAGGTGTGAGGCTGGAAATTAGAATCATGAAAGTTCAGAGTTCAATTCCTTGCAGCCTGGCAGGTCTCAAGGAAGACGTGCCGTGACATTGGTGACATTGGCAATCCCTCACTCAGCCTTCCTTGGGGGGCAGCACACAGTCCATGACAGAACCAGGTGCCTCCAGGCTCTCCAGGCTCTTCCATGGCTTTTGTCCAAACCTGAATATCAGAAATTGAACTCATTTTTCAAGGATGACTGTGTCTGCCTGGTGAAGCTCAAGCCCTCTGGGATAAGGGGGAATGTGGCATTCCCAGAAGCTGTGGAAGATTTTAAGGAACATATAAGGGACAGTGCCACTATGCAAAATCAAGTCTGTGTTTGGCATGGAGGCAGGACCTCCTTAATTAAATTGCATTATGTGGTGCTAGTTCCGTACTATAGCATGGACTTCAGAATAACAAAAAAAACTTTTGATTAAAAAAGATTGGTAGAGGGTTATCCATATGTTTTTAAACATGAAAACAATACTTATGACTCAGTCACACAACACCTCAATACACACTGCTCTTAATTCACTTGCACGTGTCTAGGCCTGGGAACCAGAGTCCTCCCGGCACCACTTGGCTGCAGGGACCAGGCGCTGGTTGGGGTCTGCTCCCCAGCACAGACCCGGGACTGGGGGCTGTGGTAGCGGTTTGGTCCTCATGTGGGTCCTCTCTGGAGAGGCTCCCAGGTCGGCCCCACGGCAGGGCTGTTTTCAAGTGGTCGCTTTTCACGCACACACTGTGTTTTGACACTCTTTTCTGTGCTCGGTTTCCTTAAAAATGGCTTGTGCTGTACGTGCCCCAAGGACTCTGTCAGGAAGGCTTAGCCTGATACTCACTTTGAGTGGTCTGCTCCAGATCTCATCTCTTAAGATGTGACTTGGCACACACAACTTCCTCTATGAAATAAATGATTCAGGCTCTTACCACGCAAGAGAGACCTCCTGAAAGGCTCTTTCATGTGGAGCCAGAGAGACTAGAGAGTGTCAGAGTTTTAAAGACAAAATATTCCAGTCAGAAAAGTATACAGGCTTCCTACAGGAGGGACTGTTCACACATCGACAGTCTTTGAATTAAGCTTTTAAATAAAAGATTTGTCTTGAGACCAAAAAAGTGATGGCTTTTATGAGCAATAAAGCATAAAGCGCTTTTTTTTTTTTCCTGGATGAAACCACCATTCACTATAAAATAAGCTGGCGCTCTAGATTTATTGAAAAGCCAAACTCTTATTTCCCCTTAGGAAAATGAGACATCGTACAGTTTGCAGATGCCTGAGACATGTGTGTTGATGCTGCTACAGCTGGGATTGGCTTTTGTGTCACAGGCCAAGCTGGGGAAATATGGTTCATGTCCTGGGCCACAGTACTTATTGGAGATGACGGAACAGAAGTTGATGGTGAGTATCACAGCTGGGAATTATGCTTTTGTTAGGAGGTTTTGTCTTATAAGTCTGTATGTAAGCATTTGCCTTTTAACAAAGTTTTTTCTTGGTATATATAAATAGATTTTATATAAATTGTTTTATTAGGTAAATATAAATCAAAGTAATCTGAATGTTTGAATTTATACCTGTATATGATACACCAGTGTTTTAATACGTGTCGTGTATGCAGGGGGGTTGGACTAGATGACCTCTAGAGGTCCCTTCCAACCTTAAGTATTCTATGATTCTATGTCCAAGAGGAGCCTCGCACATTTTTGTGCAGCCTGAAAACTGTGACCTGCTCCTCTTTTTGGCTCTTTGGCTCTCCCTTTCACACTGCCTGCCTGGCGGCACCGTATCCGGCCTCTTCTGGGAGAGGAGCAGACAGCTCTGAGTTGTGGCCCAGGAACTCGGCCACCGCCTCCAGCATCGTCTCCGATTCCCCCAGTTTTGGCTGTAGGCACTTTGGAACAGAGACCGTGTCTCTGTCTATACATGACTAACAGTACAGATTTTTGGATGGTCCTGGAATAACAGAAACAATATGCCTTGGCTGTGGGAAAACATGATCCAAGAACAAAAGATCTCACAACAGCGTGGTAAACATTAGAAGCTCTTTGCACATTTTGCACCAGACCGACGTTGTCTTTGACAAGGGCCTCTGCCCAAGTCATTCCGCATCTGCCTCAGAGAGGCTTCTCAACCGCATGGTGTCCCATGCCTCAGAGGGACGAATTCAGGCACCACTGCTCATTTTTTGAGAAAGAAATGCTGCTTAGGATTACTTTAAAAAATAGGTGTCCTGCAGGGAGTGGGGCAAATCCACCAGCATTGCTGAGACCAACACTCGTGCAGCAGAAACTGCAGCCTGACAGGAACATCATAGCTTGGGAAGTGCTCAAGGCACGAGCTGATGACACACACACCTCTTCACAGGGGCACTGAGCAAGCAGACGTTAGTTGGCACACACAAGAGTGGAAAAGGTAAAACCGTCAGCTCAGATAAGCAGCGCTGCTGCTACCCCGGGCTCTGGGTGCGCACGGTGCCTCCTCCTCGCCAAATAGCACAAGGGAACAAAGAATTTTGATCTCTTCTTTTGACTGAAATGGTCATGGCATCCACCCATGCCTGAGCACCTTGGCTTTCCCACATGCGTTCAGGGAAAGGTGGCCCAGCAACACCTGCAAGGCTCCAAGTGCAGAGGACTTTGCTCCTTGTGGTGTGAGAGTGGAGACAAAAACATTATTCTCATGTTTCTCATGTGTGTTCCCCAAGTGCTCCCAAGGGCACCCAAAACGCAGCTATTGCTTGAATTGTGTGAAGGGATCTCCCACTTCTGCACGTTTCAGAAGTCCTTCACATTAAAAAGAGAAAAAAAAAAGGTGGCCTTTGCTCCCATAGTTAGCAGGCTTAAGTGAGAAACTACGGATGGGAAGAGCATGTTTCGAAGGAACGTTTGAAACCATCTTAACAACTAGGAAGAAAAGAAAGAAATGCCAGGAAAACAGGGGAAATGGATGGGGGACCCACTGCGGCGCGTGCCGCCAGCCCCGTGGCGCTGGGTGCCGGGCGCCCGTCGGGTTCCGGGGCGACGCGCGCTGTGACACGGGACGCGCCACCCGCCGCCTCACAAAGCGCCTGCCGCCCCGCAGCAGCGTCCGCGGCCCTGGGGCACAGCTCGCGTCGCGTCAGAGCTCCCTCTGCGCACAATTTTTTTCCCTCCACGAGTGCAAGCCGCCGCGGTTGTACTTGTGCCCTACTACTATGGTTTAAAGCGCTACCATGTCTTTGTGCACTCGCTACCTAGAAGACGCCAAGCGGGACTTGCGCAAGGCCGACCGGGAGATCAAGAGGCAGCTGCGGATGCTGGACCTGCGGCTGCACCTGCACCGGCTCTGCGACAGCGTGCCGCCGGTCTGCGCGTGCAGCCGGCACCTGCACACGCACTGCTGCTGCGCCCTGCACCCCTACCCGCACTGCCTCTGCCACCTGCCCTGCCGCACCGCCTGCCTCGCCGCCTGCGAGAGGAGGCTCCTCCAGGCCCGCCTCGACATGGAGCGGGAGCTGGCCAGGTAGGGGGCCTCCGTCTCCCTCAGGGAAGGGTTTGAAGGGAGGATCGAGGGCTGGGAGGGAGACGCAGGGGGCAAGGACCACTTTGGGGGGACATCTGGGGAGGAAGCGAAAGCATTTGGTGAAAGCTCTGGTGAAATATTCCGTGGCTTCGGTCCCCTTGCCAACTGTGTCCAAAAAAAAACAAAAGTACATCCCAAACTGTTGAATGGTGAAACAAAGCCCATCTCAAATGTAAAAGTGATTTAAGTCTATTTGAAGTAAAAAAGCACGTTACCATTTTCCTCAGTATCCAAGAGGGGCCTCTGTGGTGGTGCAGGTGTGCATATCCAGAACATAAGTAAGTCAGTCCATCTTTTCCCACATACTGACAAGGAAACACAAGTTTCAGGATCTCTAAACTTCCACTTGACCACAGTGGTGGTGGTTTGTTGGCTGAGTTCCCAACTCACTTTAGCATAGATGAAAAATAAAATGCAGCCCTGCAGGCAGGGCTTGGTTAAATGGCAAAGCCCTCCTACCAGAGTTAAGGCACAGACAAATGTCTATAAAGCAGAAGGGGTCAGAAATCCTTTGCTAATCAGATGGTGAGGGAAGCCTGTTACTGTATTTATTCTATTTTTATTCCCACCCAAAACTCCAACAAACCATGACTCTGAATATTGCTGGAGGGAAACTTTGACCCTGACTGTAGCCACAGCTCACGCGGGGCTCCCAGGTACTGCTGCAGGAGCCCAGGTTTTCATCAGCGCCCTACGTACCAGCAAGTGCTGCATCCAGCCACAGACCTGTGCACTGAAGTCTGAGCTAGGGGCATGAAACTCGGTCAGAACCACAGTTTCAGAGCTGCCTGTGGGACTGCAAGGAACTCTTCACCCAAGGGTCAGGCTCACCACCTTTGGGTGCCATCTGTAACAAATCTGTGCATGAGTCTCTGCCATGTTCACCTGATATCCCACCAGAGCAGGGCCTCAGCCCGTCGGGCTGCAGAATTCAACCAGCACCCTCCCGCAAGAAAAACCCCAAATGCTCTGAATGACCAACCATTTTTCTAAGATCTCCTCCAACAAGCAATGTAAAAAGACCAAAGAGATAGATGGAGGAGCCAGCTCCCAGAGAAAATCCATATTAAAACCTCCGTGCCATGTTGGATCACTGTGGGCTTGTTTGAAAGGAATAGTTTTTCTGCACTTGGTGTACTTCACTAATGAACTGCTCTGGGATGTCTCACCTTAGTGGCCAGCCTGTTTTCTTGTTTGGTGCCTCATTGCCTCTTCCTTTACATACATTCTCTTTTTAATTTGTTGCCTTGCGTCCAGCTTAGCCTGTTATAATTGAGGTTACCTTTCTGTTGTGTATTTTACAAACGGTTTGAGAAACAGCCATTCTTTTGCTTGAGCAGCATTGCTGTTTGGCATTATCAGAAATCGTTTTAATCAGTAAGCACCAGCCCAGCTTTGCATGGGCATTTTTTTTTTTTTAACAAATGTGTCTCTTACATACTGATCACTTTAAAGAAAATGCCTAATTGGGAAACATAATATATCATAACTATCCATTGGAAATTTAGGACAGGTCATAATATGAACACCCTTGGCTTGGTGGACACGTACCTATGAAAGAGGAGTAGGGGCTTCTGTATATTGAGGTGAAAGAGTTTTTTGTCTTCACAGTTGCCCCGTGCCAAGGGTGCACAGTCAAATGCTCCTCAGCACTGAAGCGTGCAGAGAAGCTTCGTGTGTTCATTTTGACAGTGTAGTTGCTTCCATCAGGGCTGTGCGTTAGCGTATGCAGGAGGACAGACCAACAGTTTCCTATTCATTTCTCATGTGCTCCCTCCCTCTTTTACTGGACTGAAAGGTTGTCTTCCTGTTTTTATTTCAGTACACAAAGAAGAATTAATAGGATGTTGAACGCCACCCATGACCATAAGCTTTTAGCTTTAATGGATGTGAAGGGTTTTGACCCTGACGAAGTTACTGTGAAGGTGAAAGACGGGAAGGTTAAAGTGTTAGCCGAGCACGAGGAGGAATATAACACCTTAAGAGGCAAGGAGTATAACTACAAAAACATCAGAAAGGAGATCAGCTTGCCTCCCGGGGTGGACGAAGATGAGGTGATGTACTCCGTAGGACCTAACAGTGTCGTGAAGATTGAAACGCCGCGCAAGTGCTACCCGTGTCTCATGAGCCTCTGAGCACGGCGGGGAGCAGCCAGCACCACGGGAGCCGGCGGGGCACAGCGTGGGGCAGCCCCCGCCGCCCGCCCGGCTCCGGCCCCAGCGCCCGGCCCGCAGCGCCCGGCCTCTCCCGAAACAAAAGAGAGCATTGCAAAAAGCTGCGTGCGAGCCTCATTCCACAGGGATCCGGCGGCCAAAGGGGAGGGGGGCAGGCGCCTGGGCTGCCTGTGCCAGGGCTTGATTACTCATGCTCTTTGCAACACGTAGCTTCTTTTCTTCTTTAAATGTGTCTGGGTTCCCCTGCATCTCATCTTGCTCTTCTCTTTGAAAAGCCATCGCTAGCAGAAATCTCTCCCCTACATTGGTGACCCGATCACCTCTTAACCTTCCTGGAGAGAAGAAAATTCTATAGAGCTATATCTCCTTTTTGCTCGCTGGAAAGCCAGCTTTCCACAGTTTGAATTACTCTTGTAGCTCTTCCTCTGAACTTGTTTGTAGTTCTCAACATCCCACGCAAATTCCAGAAGTATTTTTTGATAGTGAACCTGCAGAGGCTGTAACACAGAGGCAATGACATCCTGACACTGCTCAGCCTGTCCTGGGTGGGCATATTTCTGTCTACAGCCCTTAGGAGAGGAAAATGGTAAGCGAGTTCCAATCCCAGATCAGCTAAGTACAAAAAGCCCGTTTCACGTATTTACCACTATAATAGCACCCTAGTGCAGGAGGGCACTTTGGTACTCATCCTGTTGTTATCCCAGAGCCCGCTAGCCCCGAACAAAAAGCTGGTGCTTAACAAAACTGTTTTGACTGAAAGAGGAGGAAAAGCACCTGAACCATGGGGTAGCCCGGTTAGCTGTGGCTCCCTGCCCCAGCTCCCTCGTTTGCTGCATGTTTTTCCTCCATGGAGTGGAGAAGCCCACGAGGTTGTTGCAACACTCGGAGACCTCACCTTGCTTCAGCTGCTGTGGAGATGGCTGCAAGTCTCCTGTGGCTGTCCAGTCACAGAAAGATAGAAAGCTGCTGCCTTCTGCCCCTTGGGGGCCTTCTGCTCATTATTGGGGTCAAAAAGAAGTGGAGCAGATGATAGTTCCTCTCTAGAGTTGACTCTCCCTTGCAAATACTGCAAAACAGCACGTGAGAAAGCAAGCTGTGCCATTTGCTTCTTCCGAAAGTTGCACTGTTGGCACTAGCGGTCTTGGAAGGCCAGAGCATTTGTTCAGAAGGCGTTGGGAATATCGCAGAGCACTTACCAGTGGGTGAGAGAATGGCTAAAAGCATTTCCTATGACTGTGTAGAGGAGAATCAATAGCTCAGTGTGAATAAGAAAATGTTTTTTTGCGTTGAACAAGTGAGGGAAATGTCAGAAGTATTTCTTCACAAGGAAACACTAACAGAATATCCCAGCCAATCCCTGCAGCATCTCCAAAGCCCCACGACAGATACCCTGGCAGGGCAGCCCGGTGCTTCAGCCCACGCTGGCGCAGCAGCAAAAGCCTCCAGCAGTTCCCGACGCCTTGGGCAGCGCTGGGCAGGCGGCTGTGCGAGTGCACTGCGACCTGCAGAGCCCAGGCCAGGCCCCTCCACACTGGGGCGGCTCCGCCGCGCGTTAGCCTGGTCAGAAAAGGAGTTCATTAACGGAGCACAGGGCCCGTGTGGTCGCAGCCGGCTGCCCCAGCACCCAGGGGTCCCCACTGCTGAGAGCACTGACCCGCCACAGCAACCTGGCATTGCCCTGGAAACCCTTCGGTCTGAAGAAAGCGAAGCCAGGCCTTTATTTCAATCACAGAATCATAGAGTCATTAGGGCTGGAAGGGACCTCTAGAGATCATCTAGTCCAACCCCCTGCACACGCAGGGTCACCTAGAGCACGTGGCACAGGACTGCGTCCAAGCGGGTTTGGAAGATCTCCAGAGAAGGAGACTCCACAACCTCTCTGGGCAGCCTGTTCCAGTGCTCTGGCACCCTCGCTGTTAAGAAATGATAACAAAAACCTTGTAATAACATTTTTCAGAGGAGATGCTCAAGTTAAGTTCTCCAGGCCTCTCTGCCTCCCTTCTAAAGCAACTTCTAAAGGCAAGCTGGGCGCTAGATTTGTAAAGTGAAGAAGTGAAACTGCCAGCTGAATTTTGAAATCCCCCAAATCCCTGGATAATGCAAAGTGATTATTTGGAATAACAAATTAAAGCTAGTACAAGCAGAAACGCTCTTCTTAATGCACCCCAGGAAAAAGGGGAAAAAGCCATCCGGGCTTTCACAATTTGCATTCATGCTCAGAAGGCCGGGAAACCCGAGGAGCGGGGCCACACAGCAGTGATAGGGCCCTGCCTGCTCGGCCGTGCGGCTCCATCCCCACTCCAGCCCAGGCACAGCCTCCCCGTGGGCTTCTTCTGATGTGTTTAGAGCCTCCAGACAGCATGGAAATAAGGGCTGACGAGCTTGGCATGCCTCTGGGTCAGTATGCGGTACCGGTGCCCAGAAAAGCCTTTCCTGCTCTTCCCTCCAGACTCTTAGAAGGAGGCTGCAAGGGAGCCTCATCCTCTGACAGTGAGAGGCAAGGATGGGCCTTGGGGATGCTAAAAACAGCCCCGGGAAGCCCTCCCTCTCGCAAAGCAACCTCCTGGGAAGCCAAGCTGCAAAGCTTTGGAGATACTGTAGTCACTTTAGCAGTCCCTTTGTAACTGCTTCTGCAGAAATTATCTTAGGGTGCAGTAGAGAAGCATATTTCAATGCTTGCCAGCTATGCAGGACTTCAGACTCACAGAATATGTAACATCCTACAGGGTCCATAGGGGCTAGCTGTGACTGCTCTTATAGATCAAGTCCTTAACAGGTTTTGCTTAACCTTTTAGCACAAATTCTCCACACTTTATTCCTAAATTAGTCTCCTAAAACCGTATTTAAACTCCCAAACAGCACAACTTGGTTTATGGCTATGTTTTTATCCCCAAAGTTCAAGACTGGAAGGCACTGCCAGATCACCTGCCTTAATCTCCTCCTATATTATCTTATACCACAAATAAACTGGCCAGAGTGTAATTTCCAGAGAAGTATCTAGTCTTGATTTGGAGGCTGTAGGGGACAGACTCCACCACTTTGCTTTCTTTTTTGTTCCAGTGGCTTAATACGCTGTAATTAAGTGCCATGCCTGATATTGTCTGGCATCATCAATTTATTTTTTCTCTGCCAGAGGGAAAAAAAAAGTCCTTAGACACTGACTTAGTAGTAGTATAGTAGATAGTAGTAGCTATGAACTTCTATATTTCAGTTAAATCGCTTCTTAATCTCGAAAACTTAAAGTTTCTCATTACGAGATCTTGTTTTCTAGCTTCAATTTTTTTTTAGTTCCTTCTTGCTCCCTTCCCCAAGCTTCCAATACTCTTGTCAAAGAGTAGAGCTGCCCATGGTAATGCTGTATCTCGCTCATCAACGCTGTGTACAGAAGTAGGAATCATCTCTTTCTTATGCCAATATACATATATATATATACACTACATATATACACACATACACACACACACATATATATGAGATATATATATCTCTTTCTTATGCCAATATACATATATATATACATACATACACATATACACACAGACACACACACACATGTATATATATATAGGGGAGATTTGCAGGGCAGCAAAGCTGACACTAGGAAACCCGCAGAAGGGCAGCACATTTCAGTTACTGGAACAGGATGCAGCAAAAAAAACTTACTTATATGTTTTTTGATTAGGACTCCCAATGTTTAAATTCAAGCATGACTAGAAGGCTGTGAGACGTGTCAAGGGATGCTGCTAAGAAAACTCCTGATAGGAACAAGACTCACATTATAAATTCGTTGGGATATACCTAAAAGCACTCTTGAAATCTTTATGCTACAAATACTGCTCAGAGGAGCCTTTGCTAAAAGAAAGCACCTTTGGGAAACTATCGTTAACACAGCACAACCCGCTCGCATTATCACCTCCCTAAAAGAAATTACTTTGCCACTAGGTGGCACATGGGTTTGTTTATTTATTTATTTATTTAACTACCTCGGGAAATATCTTCTAGGAGCAGAAATAACGACAGTGCCATCGCCAAGCAAGCGGGCTGCTCGCGCTGTTACCGGCAGCGCTAATGGCAGGGGAAGCAGATGGCGCCAGGGAGGATCCGCCGTCACCGCGGAGCGAGGGGCAGTCGGTTCTTCTGCTCGGGGTTGTGCTGAGCTCCGATCCTGCCGCTCTCTTTCGCTGGAGCAGGCTCCTTAGGAGCACGAGTTTCATTGCCTCCAGCAATCTGCCTGTGTCAGGGCTCGTAGCCAGAACTGGGGCTTCCAGGTGTTGATTTTATTGCATTTCTGCACAAATGTATTCTGCGGGCTCATCTTGACCCTCCTCCCTGAAGCAAATACCCTCCTGGAATTCCCTGGCATGAGGAAGGCGCCCGGGAGGGCGATTTGGCTTTCTAGCTGCAAACGTCACTGCATTCTTGAACTCTAGCCTTATCGGGGCGTTTATAAATATACACA